GTGTGTTTCCTGCTTTTGCTTCCTTTGTATTAGCAAAGTTTACTCTGCTTGGCTTCAGGGATTACGCTACAATTATAGACACAGTATTTTAAATATAATATTCAAGTTAAAATAATGACAAAAGTCCAAGTTTAAAAAGGTAGGGTAAGAGCTAATTCAGGCAAAAGCTTTAGCTACTTTTGCAGAATGAAAAGCACAATATATTAAAAGAATACCTGATCTGCTAATTGCTCTTAATTAAGGGTATGAACATTAGCCACACTCACGTACCATATTGTCACATAAACCATTCATATTATCATACCTCTGCTTCTAAGACCAACGGATCTAATACTGTCAAATGAAGGCACGAACTCCAACACACAGGTTAGGTACCTTGCATTCTTATTTTCACAGGCCCGTGCTGCCCCCTTCTGGATACTTTTGAAAATTACGTGACATTAGAGTTTTAATAAGATGTTATAAATGAAAAATAATCATTTTAAACTAATCTATTAAAAAACAGGCAAATGCTCAAACTGAGGAATATATTATTGGTACCAAATAATTTATTTTGTAACATCTTCCAAAAATTCTGTTTTGAATAAAGTTCTAGCAGGAGCAAAAACTAGCTCTGATAATTCAATTATCCATGCTAATGAGAAGAAAATAACTATTAAATATATATTTACTAAAAGTAAGTACTTTAAAAAGTCACATTTTTTGTTCCCTTCCATACTCATTTTTCTCACTCCCCAAAGCAAAGCAGAATCTGGTTTTGGTACTACTTATCTTTCCAGTTCAATTTTAATACTTCCACTGCCTTTACATGTACCCAGGAATACAGAGTATGGAGTGGTATGTTTTTTAAAATGTCAATAACTAGTTTCATACTGTATCACACACACAAAGGTTCATTGTCACAGGACGTACTTCTAAATGCAGCCACCTGCTGCATAAATCAACTAAAGAAACGTGAAGAGCTCTGTGCAAAGATATCAGTATAGTTCTCTAGTTAAAAACTACGCTATCGGGTCTCTAGGGTGATTTTTTTAATTTCTGAATTTTCTTCCTTGTCAATCGCATCTACCTGGTTTATTAGGGAAAATGTTTTTCAAAGCACTCTTGACATTTAAATTTTTTCTTCTCTTTTTTTTTTGTTTTTTCATTTTCTCTGGAAATAAACTATGTGGAAATAAAAGAAAATTTTCCTGGGTTTTGGAGAGTGGACTCCTTTATACCAGACACTACACTAAGGGGAGAATGATAAGTAAGCAGGTAAGGTAAAATAAGCTGGCTGGAAAGTGGAAGAGAAGAGATTAGACCATTCTCATCTGTGACTATACAACCCTGAGGCTAGAGGTTCAGAAGTGTCCTGCTGCAGCACTCAGCTGCCCTAAGAACACCTGTCTCCTCTCCATGGCTCTCTCCTGGACTTCCCAGGCAACCTAAGCATTCATTTGGCCTCCCCTGGCCTGCAGGTTCAGATTTTGAAAATTCACCCAAATCCACCTCTGATAGCTATTCAACTCTAGAAAGCTTTCTCTCTCTAACCACTGTGTGCTGCTTAAATTCTTACTTACTAGAATAAAATTAAACTAAAATGCTCTAGTTCTGAAATATGAAAACATTACAGTACAAATAATCTCTGAGGGATTATAAGACACTGCACTCAGGGTTAAGGGAGCCTCATAGCTGGAGAATAGGAAAGAAAGGGAGACTTGCTTTTCATTAGTAACCTTTAATACCTTTTGCATTTTTCCTATGTACATCATTATCTATTTATAAAAATATTTTAAGACACTGGTAAATAATATTCTAAGTGCAGATGAAAATTTAATAAGTCAGTTAACAATTTAGAAAGCCCATTTTGAAAAAGATTTTTCTGAAAAGTCTATGTGAGTATTTGAAGTGGCAATCTAATTTAATAATAAAGGTTCCACTTTAAATTTGAATCCTATTAAAATTGCCTAAGAACTATGCTATCTGAATAGTAATATATAAGGTCAAAACCATTCACTGAAAAACAATAAACACAACTTAGAATGATACAAATGGTGTAAGACTTTATTTTATATTATATAATTCAAATACTGTTCAAATAGATAGCTTCACTTTAGTCTTCTTTTATATGTATGTGTATCTTCAATATGTATATACAGTACATTTTGTTTTATCCAGAACCTAAACCACCATAAAAACAAAAAAATAACAACCTCAAACTGAAGAATTTTCCCTCTACATTCCATATGTTTAAGAAGAAAGAAATAGGAATGGAAAATAACCTAATATTAGAAATGTCAAAACTACAAGTTCCAGCACCCCTCAGAAAGTCAATACACCATCAGTCAAATCTCACAGCAGTGAAGAGTAGTCGAGCAAAGCAGAGCTGCCTCCAACTGTACATCTTTTCTACCTGGCAGAGAGGATTTCATTTCTGTTCACTGTCGACCTAGCTAGGAGGCAGACAATGATTTTACTTAGTACTTTTTCTTACCAACCTTCTACATTTTGGGAAACATGAAATATAACTATAAGGAATTATCGTCAACCTTGAACATTCTTAATTACGATTTAAATAATTTTTTAAGTAATTTTTAAAACACAACTAACAATTCTGTTTTAGAACATCATTTCTTGAAAAAAAAATTGGAAGAAGGCAAAACTCCATTTCTTTCTGAATATATCTAAGATAAGAATCGAAACTATTCTCATCAAAAAAGTAGATGACTAACTTTTCAGCATTTATCTTTAATCAGGCTGTTTGATAAATTTTATAATCTTCCAACTAGCAGAGATCACAACTTTAAAATAAAAATATTTTCTTCTAAAAGAAAATGACACTAGATCAATTTATAAAATGAGCAATTCAAGCATTAGAACCAGTATGTAATATAGTTAACTCTAATCTCAACAAAAGAGTCATTTGCTAAATATTTAGCAAATACACAATATTTCTTAGCTTTTTATTAATCAGGTAGGTGATCTGATCTTTAAACGCATTAGCTGATGTCCCTAAAACCACCAGCTTAATGAAAAAGTTATTAACTAGGCAGTCATTATTTACTTGTTAAATTATCGCAAAGCTATAAAAGCAAGTTTCTCTGTCTTCATCAGTACTTTTTTTTTTATTAGTTTCAAATATACAGTAGATTGGTTAGACATGGATGTAGTTTATAAACGATCCCCCTAATTATTCTTTCTCTCCTCTGGCTCTCTACCTAGAGTACTTTTGAATGTCAATTAAAAACTAGAAAATCTCTACTGGTGAGCCTTTAATAAGTAAATTACAAGTCATACATTATTTTCCTAGTACCTTGTCTAGGTCTCTCTTCTTCACATTCCCCAGGCAACTAGCACCTTTGGCCCATTCCTAGTCTACTAGGGAGCCCATTCTCTAGTTACATATATGTCTACTAAGTAGATTTTACTCATAAAAATTATTTTTAAATGCAACTGGTCAAAACATTTTACTATATTAAATACCACTTGAATTATTTTAAAAAGAAACCAGAAAATCCTCTCATACTAACTTCTAAGCTAAAAAAAAGTATGTATTAATGTAGTTCAAACAGAAACCATGACATTATGTAAACTCCTCCTTTTAACTGTATACATAATTTTATATGTATAAACTACAACATTTCAAATGTTTTATTCTTATAAAAACAGAAATCAGCCAAATCAGAAATGGTTGTTCTAAACTGATATAAAATAATCTAAATAAATTTCAGCATCAAAAATTAGATATTTCACTAAATGTGTGCAAAGATAAAAATTCTCATGTTTTATTGTAGCACAAGAG